TGCCATCAACTTGTCCCGCGCATCACTCCACAGCTCCACCTCTTCTTTCCATGCATGAAGCAAGGCCTGCCCCCAAGGCATGGAATCGGCACGGCAACGTTCAATAGCTGTGGCTCGGATTTTTTCCTCTGTTTCCAGAATGTAGGTGAGGACCACATCTTCTGGCGCTTTGCTCAAGGCAGACCAAGCCTTTTCTTCCAGATTGCTGATATAGGTGCAAACTTGCTGCCAGTGACAAAACTTAACCTGCTTGCCTCCAAATGAGACATCAAAGCAACCAGCAACAGCCCAGCCCAGACCTAGAATGCGAAAACAAGAAAAGTATGTTCGCAGCCTTCCTGAATCCTCCAAAGCCATAACATCATCATCTGCCTGAGCAACGTTGATATGCAAGGATTCGGTGACTCGGTGCTTTTTGACTGACTGGGAACGCTGAGAAGTGGCTAAACTTCTGGTCCGAAGAACTGAAAACATGGAAGGCTGCCCCGCATCAAACTCGCGGACAATACGGCCAAGCAACGTGTCGCAAACCATTTCTTTGGACTTCAGAGTCCACTGATAAAAGTTCTGAAAAATCTCACACTTGGACTTACGTGTCTCGGAGTCCAAAGCTTCATCCAAAGATTCATCTGTGATACCTTGGCTAATTCGCTTCAGCCTGGTTTGGTTGATGCCATCTGCCTCTTTCCAGGCTTGCTTGAGCCGAGCCAACTGACCAATGTGGTCCTTCTGGCTCGTGTGCTGCAGAACGGCAGTTTTCAGCTGAGAGGAGTCATCGACCATGTTTGCAAAATGTTTGATTTCATGACAGTCTTGGGGAGCTTCTGAAAGCCACTTTGCTACATCTTCGTGAACGCCATTCCGGGTCAAAAGCAACTTCAAATCTTCTTTCATGGGCGGCATGGCTCCCGTCACAAAAGCTGGCTAATCCTGATAGGGACAAGCTTGCAGTTGTACGTGTAGAACAAGTAGATAGTTTGGAAACATATACAATACAATATTTTAATATATATATATGTTCCTGCGACCGCAAAAGTGGCATGCTGAACAACATTGAGAGCAGGAAAAAAACAACTTTCGAGAGCACATGGGGGTTTGAACCAAGTGCTAGGGACAGACGGCACCAATTGCAAGGTCAGGCACACGTTGTGCATTGCAAAAAAAAACACGATGGCATGGCTTGAACACATGAACCAAAGCCCAGCCGCATTGGCATTGGGCAATGTTTGGGGGGGAACTTTCAGAAAAAAAATACTTAAAGCGGTGGGAGAACATTGCCGGCGCAATGCATCGGCTGCGGACATGAACATCAGAATCAATCCAAATGCAATAATTACCAGTCTGCACCCTTGCCAATAACCAACCATATAGACTGAACACATTATGGCTTTGTCGATTGTTTGAGTTCAACTGTCAAGCAGGCAGGCGCTCACGCTTTCTTTTTCCTGTGGTGCGGCAATCAAACTGCAGTGGCATGCAATATGCTCTGTGAACTGCTGCAGCTCCCATTGAACTGGCACCACTGATCTGCAGAGAATGGGGAGGGAAAAAAAAAGAAAAGGCTAGTGACCACTGTGGCCCATGTCTTGCCATGCCTTCTGGAGCTTTTTAGGTAAATGGTTGAAACATCGCGGAGACCACGGCCGTCCCGTACTGAAAGCATCTTCTAGGCCTACACCAACGTCAGGGTCTTTAAGCCCTCGGTTGCAGTGAGTGTGCCAGCGCTTTGTTTGAGACTGAAGAGGCTTGCAAACATGTAAATGGCCCTGACGGCCTTTGCTTAAGAGCCATTGTATTTCATGACACTCCTCGGCTTGGGTGTCTGAACTAGAGGAATCAGAGTCACTGCCTGAAGTGCTAGGAGACGCCGATGAGCTATCAAGGTCACGGTTTGGATCAGGCAAGAGGCCACCATCTTCCGGTAAATAGATTGCAGCACGTCCATTCTGGAGGACATGGGACGCTAACCGTTTTGACTCCAGACGGGGTGGAAAATTTGCACTTAGTCCATCCCAAGTGTCAGTGGCGTGACCATGCCGAGAAACATGTTGTATGATGCACACAAGCTCAGTTTTCACGCACAAACTAGTGTGGAGTTTTTGGTCAGCATACCGCATTGGCATGCTGATGTCAAGACACTCTTTACGCGCTCCTTTCCAGTCACCAACCAACAACATTTCATGGGGATCCAAACGAGCGAGTTCGGCTATGGTTGGGAGAACCCGTCGAGCAGAGTAAGAAGTCAAGAGAGCTGCATCCATGGCTGAAAGGCCAAAAGGCGCCTGCTGAAACATGTGCTGGCTCAACCGCGAAAATCTACCTAAGGACATCGACTTAGTAGAAAACCCAGTGGCAGTCTGCAATGTGCACCTTGGAGGTGAAAAATCTGACAAAAAGAAACCAGGCTGCACTTCGCCACCGAAATTGCGAGCCAGATGCTGGTGCACTGCTGAACCAAGATCACATCCTGTCACTCCCCAACGAGGCGCCCGCCATTCAAAGGGTCTGCGTCTACCTTGGCTACGCCTCTTGCACAGAGACGCTTTGGCAGCGATGCCGTTGTCCAGCACCCGTAAAATGGCGGAGCGCTGCAAGTGCGCAAACCGCAACACAGCATATGTCAGAAGAAGCCATGTCAAGGCCAAGGCGCCGACAGCATGGTTTTGACTGCCAACTAAAGATTCCAGGCCCAAAATTATTGACAAGGTCAGTGGTTTCGCTTGGCTCTCCGTGTGACACTGAGGAACCGCTGACTGGCCACGCACTCGGTCAGAGGAACTGTGAAAATCAAAGCCCAACTTCTTTTCGACCCATTTCAAAGTCGCATACGCTCCATGTGGGGCAGTAGGTCCCCGTTCCTTCAAAGAGCGGAGCCATATAGCAACGTGTATACTCGAAGGCTTCCAAGGCTCAATGTTGGACTCAGCACAGTGTCGGCGCCACCTACACATGAGACGAAGCGCAGCTTGTAAAGTTGGAAGGGCCACCAAGCACATGTCATCAAAAAACATTGCTGCAAACTGCTCTTTGTCAGAGGGAGTCAGCGCAACATAGTCCGACCATTGGCTGCCGTGCGCGCCTACTTCCAGAAACAAGGCCCACAACTCAGAAGCAGCAGCTTCGACCACCTTTCGCTCACGAAGCTGCAAACTTTGCAAATGCAATTCAGTTTCGCTGACAGAGGCTGCCTTCAATCGGCGGCGTTTGGTGGTCGAGAAGCTCTGAAGCGGGGCTGGCGCGCAGCTCGTACTTGAAGAGTTTTGCGCGGCTGCATGCAGATATAGGTCAACATGTTCAACTCTCTGCTGCTGAGGCGCCGCTGCAAAATCCAGCACTGCTCGTCTGGCTGCCATGGCACAAGCGCCTTGAGAAGCAAGCCAGAAGTCGTGAAGTTCGGCCACAAGGCCCGCGGTAAACGAGGTTGAGGGCACGAACTCTTCAACAGAATCCCAAGCGTTAGTTTCAAGCACAGAGGTGATCCCAATTTTTGTGATGTGTGCTTGGGCATCAGTTGACAAAGACTGGTACAAACGTTGCAGCCGTGGTGAATACATTATCCTCTTTCTATGCTCTCAAGTTGTCCTCCATGTATCCCACTTATCCTGCAGCACTCGCACAGCTGAGCCAAGCCATTGGTGGCGCAGGAGGCGGAGGACACGCCAAATGCTTGAGAACATTGCCGGCGCAATGCATCGGCTGCGGACATGAACATCAGAATCAATCCAAATGCAATAATTACCAGTCTGCACCCTTGCCAATAACCAACCATATAGACTGAACACATTCATTCATTCATTCATTCATTCATTCTTTCATTTCATTTCATTTCATTCCATTCCATTCCATTCATTCATTCATTCATTCATTCATTCATTCATTCATTTCATTCATTTCATTCATTTCATTCATTTTATTCATTTCATTCATTTCATTCATTTCATTCATTTCATTCATTTCATTCATTTCATTCATTTCATTCATTCATTCATTCATTCATTTCATTCATGCATGCATTCATTTCATTCATTTCATTCATTTCATTCATTTCATTCATTTCATTCATTATTTCATTCATTTCATTCATTCATGCATTCATTTCATTCATTCATTCGTTCATTCATTCATTTCATTCATTTCATTCATTTCATTCATTTCATGTCATGTCATGTCATGTCATGTCATTTCATTCATTCATTCATTCATTTATTTCATTTCATTCATTTCATTCATTTCATTCATTTCATTCATGTCATTCATGTCATTCATTTCATTCAGTTCATTCATTTCATTCAGTTCATTCATTTCATGTCATGTCATGTCATGTCATGTCATGTCATTTCATTCATTCGTTCATTTCATTTCATTCATTTCATTCATTTCATTCATTTCATTCATGTCATTTCATTCATTCGTTCATTTCATTTCATTCATTTCATTCATTTCATTCATTTCATTCATGTCATTCATTCCTTCATTCCTTCATTCATTCATTCATTCATTTCTTTCATTCATTCATTCATTTCATTCATTCATTTCTTTCATTCATTTCATTCATTCATTTCATTCATTCATTCATTCATTCATTCATTCAATCATGTATTCATTCATTTATTCATTCATTCATTCATTCCTTCTTTCCTTCCTTCATTCATTCATTCATTCATTTCATTCGTTACTTCTTCCATTTATTCATTCATTCATTCATTCATTCATCCCTTATCCATTCCTTTATTCATTCACTCATTCATTCTTTCATTCCGTCCATTCAGCCATTCATTCCCTTCATTCATTGCATTCATTTATTTTCTTCAATTCTTTCATTTGAATTCACTTCTTTCCAACTCACCAAGAATTCCTATAAGCATCTATAAGCAAACTATTTCCTATAGTCATGTCCTATTTTCGAAACTTCTGCCCCGGCGCGTGCCGGGCACTACCTGGTACTCATATTAAAGAACTTGAGCTTCAACAAGCAGCTCGACAGCTGTCCGATGTCCTGCCTTTTGGACCAGCTCATGGTTCTCATCGACACAGACTTCATGCTTTGAGACAGAGATGTACAAAGGGCACAAACCGTGCATCTCATTGCAGATGGGAGAGACTTTACTTCGAAGTTCATCACCTCCACACATATCACCGAGCTTGGGGTAGATGAACTCGAAAACGCGCTGAGTGACGACCTGAGGCTCTGTGGTTTGGCCACTGGACGATGAATCCGATCCTGATCAAATTTACTCAAGTCCGAAACTGGTTACTGGAACATTGTCTGTCCTTGAACACATTTGAACACTGAGAGTGCGGCCCAGTCAACAACCGTAAACTCCTTCATACTATATGTTGGTGTTGTGTAACGAATCCATGCACCACACAGAATTGCTCCGGCCGGCTGTGGAGTCTTCTGAGAAGGGGCGTGGAAGAATGTCGCCCGATCTTCTGTTGATGCAGCCAACTGGAGAAGCTTCAGACCAATTCCTCCGCCAGAAGACAAACCGTAAACCAGGACTTTCTTCGCTGGTGTCCGAGTCAACAACCATTCATAGCCGCGGCAGGCATCAATGATTGCATCCTGGATGCCATTCTCTGGATACAAGCGCATATCGATCATGAAAACGTCGCAGCCAGTCCGGCGGCCATATTGTTCTGCAAAGCCCATGCTTCCCTTGATGCTACCTCCCACAAAGGCACCACCAAAAATCCAATAGATGACCCCTGCATTCTCTCCACCCGTGTGCAAGTAGACACCTCGTACTCCACGGGCAGGTAGGTCAATTGCTTCTCGCTTCAAAGTCAAGGAAGGTGGGCAGCTACTGTCCAGCTGATTCAAGCTGAAACGCATCCGCCTCTTTGTGACTGGAATCAGGCGAACCCAGTAAAGAATGTTCCCCAGGGCGTGTGCTTCTATCGACAGCTCATCCACCATGCCCCTCCGCACCAGAACGCCCGGAAGCACTTTGTGGAAAAGCACCCAGAAGTGCCAGGGCACCATCAGGATGAAGTATCGAAGGTGTGGAGGAAGATGAGTCCAAAACCAAAAGAAAGGCACTTCCATTGGCAAAGCCAAAGGAGAAAGCCAAGAAATGAGTCTTTGAAATGGGCCCTGCTCCACCAAGCAGTTGCCAAGCCACTTCGGCAGACCCAAGTTCACACGCAATCCATGTTCCACAAAATACGACATCGCTGTATCAGCCATGAAGCGCACAGCACAACAAGAGCAGAGTTTTCAGTTGAACCCCGTTGAACCCTGGTAGCGAAATGACTTGTTGGTAGAGTATTGTTCAAAGATGTTCAAAGCTTCTCAGTGGGCAGTGTTGTTGGGCAGTTTCTTTAGACAATTTGCAGTGCTGACGTGTTGCTGGAGCCACTTGGCTTGTGCCAACCACACCTGTGAACCATAATATGGCAGAGAACGAGCACATATGACACAAGGCTCAAAGGAAAACATGCATTTCAGCACAAAGAGCGCAGAACGACACCATTTGCAGCCCCAGTCCTCTCGCTGGAAATTTCAGGAGGATCGCACGAAGGTTCCATGCTCAAATGTTTGAAGGCATTGCTGCACAAAACTCAAAGGCATTGGTATTGTACCGGTTCTTTCAACAATGGAGGTGGGTCTGTCAAACATGAGGTGATCCTGACAATTCAACTTTCAACTTCTTTTATATAGTGGCTACATGTCAGCTTTTCCCCTGCTTCCTTTCTGTGGTCTTTTAGAGCTGAGTTGGCTTCTCAGGCGGAGTTTCCCGCTGCAACTTCTTGATACTACGCATCACTCAGGTTGTGTAGCTGTATATATATAGATATATACAAATTAGAGAGTGTTCGGAGTGAAGAAAGATTCTTCCCACATATTCCCACATTTTCCATCAAAGTTGGTCCAATGCCGACGCTTTGCCAAATCTAAGTCAAACAGGCCAGACTTGCTGCACGGTCTTTGGGCAAGTTGCCCACATAAAGTCGAACCGTTGGCATTGCCAACCGCCTGAGCAAGTCCACGAAATGAAGTAAATGAAGCATAGAGCGGCATAGAAACCATGAGAAATGAATGACGCCCTGTGTCTGATGTCTGATGGCATTGAAAACCGATTCTTGCTCCTGCTCATGCACTTTACATTTGAATATCTCCACCTTGCAGCGCCAGACCGACTCTGCAGAGAGGCACAAGGACAACCGAAGCCCGCATCACGCAGCGGGGAGAATATCGACAATTTGACAAGATTTGACAAGATTTGACAAGAAGGAACATCAAGATCCAATTTAATCTAACTGCCGCTGCCAACGACCTGCGCTGCATGGTTAGGATTTCTTATGCTGCAGAAGAACGCAACAGATCGACCAGCCGCGTCCACGCATCCCACAAATCTAAAAACACGCCATGTAAAAAATGTCTTGTAGATATCATTGTGCTTTGTTGATGTTTGTCGAAGAATTTGTCATCTCTGGAAGCCTACCCTACCTGGAACAACCCAGTTCGAAATCCTCCAACCCTATGGAACTATAGGGCAGGCACGCTACCTTTCTTTCCTTTCCGGCAGGTTCGTTTCAAACGACTGTAGCCCTAAAGAAAAAGGGCTACAATGGAGTCTTTGCATACATCACTATTTTTGCTTTCCATTCTGTTCGCACCCTGAGCTATCACATTTAAAATAGACAGTTAAACATAGATACTACCTATGGTCATCAACATCAACTACCATCGACTGATCCGTAGTGGTTCGTGAGCTTACACTGTGCTTGTCTCTGCTCACAAGCCTCGGAGCTGGAGCTGGAGTGAGGAAGGTGCAAGGCCCGAGTGAAGCCACAGAGCGAAACGAGCCGCGCTGCTCGCACTGTGAGCGTTAGCAGAGCAGCGGAGCGGTGCAGCGGAGCGGAGAGTAGTGAAGAGCGAAGAATGCCTCTTGTGCCATGGGGCTGACTTTCATGAAGCCACCCTTTGTATCTCGTTCTATCCCTTTGTACACAGATGATCTTGGTTGAACTTATTCGTGCTTTGTAATGAGAAACTCCAATCCTCCTGAAATGTCAACAAATCATATGTAATAATTAGCCACTAGCAACTCTCCATGTTGCCATGCCAGTCTGGCAGAGCACTTCATGGGTGCTTTATTCCAAAGGAAAAGCCATCCGTATCTTCGATCTAAGATTTTAAGATGTGCTAAATCAAGACGTCACCTTAGTAGCAGCTGCGGGCCCAAATCCTGAGACTCCCACTACGGTCACAACTGCGCTGCGGCCAATGGAAGCCTGCTTCTGTCAGTGACCAAGGAAACAAATAGTATAGCCTGTATAGCTAAGAAAGGCAGTAGATCGGAGTAGATCGGAGTAGTGTACTTTCAAACAAAAATCCGAGGTATGCCCTTGACACAGCCCTGCAAATCTTGGCACCTCTTCTGCGCGCAGAACACCTGAAAGATTGCAGAACACTTCTGGTAGAATCTTGACCGTTAGCTGCTCGGGCAAACACCAACCCAACACTTTGTGTTACTTTCAAGACTTTTCGGAACCACTCTCATGGCAGTCTCGTGGGTTCCACACCCTAGCAGCTCTTGCACTTGACAACTGGTGCCCTCCGCTGGTTGCAACCCACCCCCGGCAGTGCTCGGGCTCACAGCTGCAGAAGTGGAACTTTGATTCCCTGAATCCCAGGATAACATGACTGACACAACTGTCAGTGCCGGCCGCCGGCCACAACAAAATGTTCCACTTCGTTCTTCACTGGCAAAATGTTCTATGCCATTGCAGAGCGGGTCAGACCTGGCCCATAGAAAATCCCATAATCAGATTGTGGGTATGCGGTATGCGTCTCTGCTTGAAGAGCAGCTATTCCAGGTAAGTGTCAATTGCAGAAGCACATAATCTCTCAAGGGGTTCAACAAGTTCAGTATGTCAACTGCTTCAGGACAATTCATTTTCTCGCAGAGGTGGTATTCTGCATCTCCACTGTTGCTGTGGCGACAAATTTATCACCACCAACAACAACCTCACGGCATCAAAAACCACAGCAACCATGGCAATCACAGCAACCATGGCAACCATGGCAACATGAAGTGACAAAATGTGACAAACTTACACTGCGTTGCCAGGCTTCCGCGCAATCGGTGTGAAGGTAAACCACAACGGCAGCGCTCAAAATTCTTGGCCATCCATCACCAAACGCGGCCATCTCTCGTCACCTGGTTGATAAAGATTGGTGCCACACCTCTCTTAGCTCAATAAACATACTAAACTCAATAAGATTCAATAAGTAATATTAAATAAACTTGTTTCTCTCCTGTTTCTCTCCTGTTCTGTTCTGGGACATTTTTTCATGTTTTCTTTACGCTAGCCACTCTGCAAAACCTCAACTACCTCAAGGCATGATTTCCATTGTGGAGAAGGCTCACAGTTGAGCAAACTCATTTGGACAAGGGTAGACTCCGCTGGTAAACTTCCGGCCTTCAGATTCAAGGTGTTGAACAGTTTTTTGAAGTTCTCCAGGTTCAAAGGCCCAGATACTGTGCAAGAAAGAAACGATGGGACTGTTGGGACTGATGGGACTGTTGGGAACACTGCACATTTTGCTTTCACCCCTAGATTCCGGCAGTTGTGTCGCTTTCATAAGTCAGCTCCTTCAGCTTCTTCTGTCACTATTTTCAAGAGATCCTCCGTCTCCTCAGGCTTGCAAACCTGCACGGAAAGTTTCCGTTCCAATTTTTATCATTATAGCCAATATTCAAATTATTCCTGCATGTTTCTGCTTCTCCCTTTCACTGTCTTGAGTCTTGACAGTGGCTGTGGCCTCTGCAGGTATCCTGAAGCGGACCAACGCTTTGCGGAGAGCCTCATTTGCAGCAGCTGCCCTTTGCTGTATAAACCCATGGCATAGCATAGCTTTGAGAGGATTGGAGATCCTGGTACAGCAACAAAAAGAACATCTGCCGGTGCCTCTGCTGTAATCGAATCGCCATCCTCAGCATCCAATAGCCTTTGAAAGCTTGCCTGCAACGAAGCTGGCAAAAATCACATAACATTGCGCTCCTAGCACTGACTTGGAAGTTGGAAACTTGTTTATAGAACACATGCCATGTAGGGGATAACCAAGACAAAGTGGTTGCGACAAGCCAAAGCCAGGACGTGAACGGGATTTTAAAAGTCTTTTGCCTCTGCTGCTTTTGACATTGCCGACTTGGCAGCTTGCTGCATATCCTGCAGAATACGTATTGCTTTGCTCAGTATTGAGACAGAAGCAGTGACATGCTAAGTTGCGAAGCCGGCAAAGTATGGAAAAGCACGCGTCATTTGATCCATTACCAGGAGCAATTCCACACTTTACTTTGTCAAGCTGTAGCAGCTGTAGCAATTCTCCTCCTTCTCGGCCTGACGTGCGCGTTTTGCTCGCGAGAGCCTCGAATGAGGCTGTTGCACCTGTCAGGGCATCTGAAGCTCTTCGCTGAAACAACAATTTGAGGAGATCAACGACTTGCATTTGCCCATTGAACTGTACCCCTAGTGCAAACATGTTTTGAATGTTCTTGGGCAGGTTGCGTGCATTGAAAAGCCAGCGACAAGCACATTGTGCCTTATCATTCTTACATGATCAGTCAGAACATGAAGGACTGCTCATAGTGTCTAGATGCACTCCATTTTTCCTAGGTCCCATCTTCATATAGTTTCAGGATGGTATGGTTGTCTATGACCAACATCACACAAGTTGTCGACTGTTTTGGTAGCCTGTGTAGCCATGCTGAAAGTAAGTGCTGCACTTCTGGGGCAGATATTCCAGGTACTTCCCTTGCTCTGTCCCGTGAGGTTGTTGCCTGGCAAAGTCTTGCTGGGTTCAGGGAGCAGACAGGACAGTCTCAGCAGAAGATGGATGAAGAGAATTCAAGGTCAACACGAACCGTGAAAATAATTATTGAAAAGCTAGTAGTGCCCGGCAGTGCCAGTAGATGGAAGGATATATAGATGGATGGAGGGAGGGATAGATATAGATATAGATATAGATATAGATAGAGATAGAGATAGAGATAGAGGTAGAGGTAGAGGTAGAGATAGAGATAGATAGAGATAGATAGAGATAGATAGAGATAGAGATAGATAGAGATAGAGATAGATAGAGATAGAGATAGATAGAGATAGATAGAGATAGAGATAGATAGATAGAGAGAGAGATAGAGATAGATAGATAGAGATAGATAGAGATAGTATAGAGATAGATAGAGATAGATAGAAGATAGAGATAGAGATAGATAGATAGATAGATAGAGATAGATAGAGATAGATAGAGATAGATAGAGATAGATAGATAGATAGATAGAGATAGATAGGAGATAGATAGGAGATAGATAGAGATAGATAGAGATAGATAGAGATAGATAGAGATAGATAGAGATAGATAGAGATAGATAGAGATAGATAGAGATAGATAGAGATAGATAGAGATAGATAGAGATAGATAGGGATAGATAGAGATAGATAGAGATAGATAGAGATAGATAGAGATAGAGGTAGAGGTAGAGATAGAGATAGAGATAGATAGAGATAGAGATAGAGATAGAGATAGAGATAGAGATAGAGATAGAGATAGATAGAGACAGAGATAGATAGAGATAGATAGATGGAGAGATAGAGAGAGAGAGAGATAGAGAGATAGAGAGATAGAGAGATAGATATAGATAGATATAGATAGATATAGATAGATATAGATAGATATAGATAGATATAGATAGATATAGATAGATATAGATAGATATAGGTATGGGTATATATAGATAGATATAGATAGATATAGATAGATATAGATAGATATAGATAGATATAGATAGATATAGATAGATATAGTTAGATATAAATAGATTTAGATAGATATAGGTAGATATAGACAGATATAGACAGATATAGACAGATATAGATAGATATAGATAGATATAGATAGATATAGATAGATATAGATAGATATAGATAGATATAGATAGATATAGATAGATATAGATAGATATAGATAGATATAGATAGATATAGATAGATTTAGATAGATATAGATAGATATAGATAGATAGATATAGATAGATAGATATAGATAGATAGATATCGATAGATAGATAGATAGATAGATCAGATAGATCAGATAGATCAGATAGATCAGATAGATCAGATAGATCAGATAGATCAGATAGATCAGATAGATCAGATAGATCAGATAGATCCGATAGATCCGATAGATCCGATAGATCCGATAGATCCGATAGATCCGACAGATCAGATAGATCAGATAGATCAGATAGATCAGATAGATCCGATGACCAGATAGAGCAGATAGATCAGATAGATCAGATAGATCAGATAGATCAGATAGATGAGATAGACGAGATAGATGAGATAGGTCAGATAGGTCAGATAGGTCAGATAGGTGAAATAGATGAGATCGATTAGACAGAGAGATAGGTCGATAGATTAGATTAGATCAGATTGGATTGGATTAGATTAGATTAGATAGGATAGATAAATAGGATAGGATAGATAAGATAGATAGGATAGATAGGATAGATTAGATAGATTAGGTAGATTGGGTAGGTTGGGTGGGTGGGTGAGACAGATGCGATAGACTGGATGGATTAGATAGATTAGATAGGTTAGATAGGTTAAATAGATCAGATGGATCAGATAGGTCGGCCAGGTGAAATAGATCAGATAGATCAGATAGAGCAGATAGAGCAGATACATCAGATAGATTAGACTAGACCGATTAGATACAACAGATAGACCAGATAGACCAGATAGACCAGATGGAGCAGATAGATTAAGATAGATCAGACAGGTCAGATAGGTTAGATAGATTAGATAGATTAAATAGATAAGATAGATAAGATAGACCAGATAGACAAGATAGATAAGATAGACAAAATAGACAAAATAGACAAGATAGATTAGATAGATTAGACAGATAAGAAGGAAACAATATGTAAGATAGATAATATAGATAAGATCGGTAAGATAGATTATATAGATTGGATAGACTAGATAAATTAGACGCATTAGATAGATTAGATAAATTAGGCAGATAAGACAGGTAAGACAGATAAGAGAGGTAAGACAGATAAGACAGGTAAGACAGATAAGACAGATAAGACAGATAAGACAGATAAGACAAATGAGATGAGATAAGATGGGACAAAATGGGATAAGATAAGATAAGATGAGATAAGATGAGATAACATTATATAAGATGAGATCAGATGAGATGAGATCAGATAAGATGAGAGGAGATGAGATCAGATAACATGAGATAAGATGAGATGAGATCCAGATAAGATGATATAAGATGAGACCAGATAAGATAAGATAAGATAAGATAGAGTTGGATAGAGTTGGATAGAGTTGGCGTTCTGCATGTACCATATCGTATATATGTCATCTCCTCTTCCGTTTTTGTCGCCCAGGTTGCCTCCGCGCGACTCCTTTGATCACGCCCACTTGTGCCTGCGCACGAAGGCTGTCAGAATCCGTGGGAAGAGATTCTGCGGTTGAATCCTCTGTTTGATGACTGCTGATATCTCTCTAAACATGGTCCAGTCTACCAAAGATACCATCTCAAATGACGCATATCTAGGCACCTTGAAGTCAATGGGAAGGGACGAAAATGGACAAAAACTTGCACAAATGGTGATGGCGATGGTGATGGTGGTGATGATGGTGTTGATGATGATGATGATGATGATGACGATGACGATGACGATGACGGGGAAGAGCACGACCACGACCACCACCACGACAACGACAACGACGACAATTTCAGTACAAGGACAATAACAGCAAGACAAAAAGACTTCAAAACATTATGTCGGCATCAAAAATCGTTCCAAGGAGCACAAATTAAGCCTGTATAATTGCATCAGCCTTTCGCTGCTCCTTCCTATCGTTGTCCTCTTGCCTCTCCTGCCTCCCTTCATTGAACATCTCCCTTGGGCAAAACAGCAAAGCCCCGGACACTCATCCTCATCTTCTGACAGCTCCTTTCAGTGCCATCAGCAAAATTCAGAAGGACCCCTTTCGAAAGTGTTCACCTTTTTCAAGGTCTCTGGTTTCATACAGAAGCAAATCACCAAGAAAGCAGTGAAGCAGTTAAGGTCCTTTTTATATCCACTCCAAAGCTTGCGACATTCCTGTCTTGGAGAATGAGCTGCCTCCTTCGGAGGCTGAAATTTTACGGCCAAATGAGTCTGTAGGTCCCCTTCTGTCCCCAACTCAAACTGAAAATCTCGCTGTACAATGCAAGCGATGCAATACTCACGACGTGGCGCACGAAAATTGAACCGCCACAGCGGCCAGCGATACTCGTGGCTCTCTGACCTTCGTGGAGCCGCTGTCCGAAAGGTCAACGTGATACTGTGATGATCCGACACGGTCAACTTGATGCGACACAAAAAGCTGTGCATCCGACACTAAAAAGAAACTCCGGCAGTGATGAAAAGCTGTGCACCCTGCATCTGAATTTCCTCCCCAGAGATGAAGCAAATAAAGCCCAAACAGCCCTGGCCCTTGGAATGCAAAAAACTGCTGGATCAGTTTCAGAATGTTTCATCCTTTCCAGGAGGTTTAGGCTTAAATCATAGTTGGCCATGGCTATGCACCATGCTTTGTACATATATACAAACAGCCAATTATGCCTTCGTCTTCCGCTCCCTCTCTTGAGATTTCACAACATCTGTAAGCGATGAACTGGCTTTCGAGGTGCAAGGTGACTCAGGCAGGCTGCATCTTGTGCTAGTTGACAATCTGCAAATTCACAGGAGAAATTCGATGTGATATACATAAATCGTGAATGAAAAACGACTACGAATGACTTAAGGATCTCCATGACCATAAATTCCAAAGAAGCGCTATGTATTCAAACAAACCATACACAAGCCCGATCGGACAGCGACTGTGCATAAGCAATTGAGCCGCGATCTCAATTGCAGTGAGAAAAATCCCTTAAAATAGGCGGGACCGGTGCTGCACCGGAAATACAATTCAGACATAGCTATTACTAGTGCAGCCATCCACATCGCATGTCTTGTGCAGACTCTCGTCTACTTTTTCAAATTATCCCTTGTTCTTAGCTCTGTTCAGTAGGAAGTTTGATGCGACGTGGTCTTTTGCAGCACTCTTATCAAACTGTGTCAAGACAGTGCATAGAACACTGCTTTCGAAATGCAGGGCTACCAGGCAATGCAAGCCACAGCCCAAACAGCGTGGCAGTCTGGCTCAGATAGCCTGTCCAACACCTCCACAGCTGAGACAACATGGAAGTTCGTGTGGCAAACTCTCACAAATACCAATTCATCCAACTCGAAATCATCAAATCTCAGGCCAAGCAGTGGGGATTTGAGTGGCAACGGAATCAGCTACGAGTACACCGCTGACAGTCCCAGGCACTGTTGGCAACCCCTTTCAGGGCTTCGTAGACTCCGAACCAGACCATGGCCTCTGGAAGGAAATAGATGGCATTCCTCAGCAAGGCTTTGCATCTCCAAACATTCTACAAGGCTTTCAGCATTGGGGTGTGTGTGTGTGTGTTTTTTTTCAACACTCCTTTTCCAAGAAAAGTCTCGTGCGCGCCTCAACATGAAAGAAGCATGTTGGCCTCCTTCACGGAGGTCTTTGTGAGAGAATCCAGCCAGGAGCAGGCCGCTATGGCCACAAAAACTCCATTGGAGAAAGACTGCAAAATGCAGATTTGTAAAATGCGAGCCACACTGCATGCAAGTGAAACAACTGTGCTCTGTCCTTTGACAGTTTCGGTTGCATATGAATTCATGCTTCCTAAAATCATGTTTTTTTTTTTTTGGGCTTCGTGTTTGTTGGGCATTTCGCCTCTTGGCCCTCCAGTGCTTTTTTTTTTCTGGGGTCACTCACTGGGCGTGAGGGCTTTGGGGATGGCGGCTGCAGAAGGTAATGGCAAAATAAAAAAAGAGTGGCTCGAATTATATGAAACAAAAAGCTACCGCATGACTACCGGCAAAACTTCATAGACATTCATTGCATCAGGGCTCAGGCATTCAGTCTTCAGCTCGGAACATACTGAGCAGTGTGGTGGGCTCCACAGTGGATGGGCATGGCAAGTTCGACAGTGCATCATTGGACATCGGCTCACCCTGATTGGGTACACGGAAGAGGTCCAAAACATCACAGTCGCAAAACCAGAAACAGGTGACATTGCGCTTGAACCAGGCAGGCTCTTCCCAGATCCTCTGTGGAACCTGTGCATCATCTGTGGCCAAAAAATTGACCGGGCTGGGAGTGGTGACTGGCCATGTCGTCAGGAGCGCCTTACAGTGACCTGCATTGTCTTCACCTAAGTGTGCAACGGCTGACAGCAACTGGTATCCTTTCCTGTGAACTGTCATGCCATCATTTGCAAAGACAGGCAAGGTGATGCCACCGCGAAAGTGAATGGGGCGCTCACATTTCTCCGTCTCAGCAGTGCCTTGGTGGACAAAACGATCAACGTGAATACATACCAGAGGGGTATGTGCTGTCAGTGCCGTTTTCATGCCATATTGGTTTTCCCAAGAGTTCAGCATGGTTTGCAAGGCTGTGTATCCATATCGGTCTGCGTTGGGATCAATCTCATCAAATTGCACTGTGATGGGGCGCTGAGCATCGCTTTGGTCCATGAGTCTGGTTGTGTCATGGATTTGCACCCGACGTTCCCACTTCATATTGAAGCCGCCTAAATGCAGTCCCCTGAGAACATGTGAAATGAACTCCACTGGATCACCCTGACGATCAGCATTGTACCACGATTGCAAAACATCTGTAAACCAGGGTTGTGTACTGAGAGTGACAGGTCCCTCTGCAGAAGAGATGATACTGCTGGCAATCAGGGTGGCCTTTGGCCCCAAATCAGAAAGTTGGAAATCAGTGCGGCTCAGAATAGCCCAAAGCAGCGCCATCATGGCAGCATTGATGTAGCAGTGATTGCCCGGGTTGAGCAAGACCATCATGCTAAGTGCAGTTAGGAGGGCTTGTCGACCAAGAGGATCCCCATGGCTCAGCGTTTGGCTTTGCCTTTCCCAGCACTCTTCCCTTTGCCCAGAAGGTTCTGCAGCTGTTGAGCTTGATGGCTTTGATGCATCGTGTGCATCTTCAACGATGCTCCCAGGAGGTTCCAAACCTTGCATCCAGCCAGGGTCTCCAGTAACGTCTGCAGTTCGTCGCAGCGCAGGGATATCTGGAGAAGCCACGGAGTCATCTGCTGATCTCCCGATGTTCGAAGGCTGTGGAACTTCAGGATGTTGGCAGCTTCCATGGTGTTCTCCACAAACTGGTCGGCGTACCGTTTCATCCTCTCCATGGCAATCGGAGCCTGATCTGTCTGGGTCAGGGTCTTGCTGGTGGCATCCCATCGCTGGAAGAAGAATTCCCCCTTGGTGTTCAGGACGTTGTGGTGCGCCGCTGTCTGAAAGAGGGGGTCCGTCGCTGTGCATTCGTAGAGACGTTTCAGGCGCTGTTGCAAGGTCAGTGCCAACGTCTGCATCAACGTCGCCCTCAAGGGCCTCCACTCCTGGGTCTTCATTGTCCCTTCCTGCTGCGCCATCTCGTGATGCCAGCTCTTGGCTTTGGCTGTCAGGGCATGGACGACTGACTCCTGCTCCATTTGCATGTAGAAGACGAAGGAGTCTTGCTTTCTCATCATGTTGTTGTCCACATCCAGTCGGATGAGAAGCTTGGCCATCTGCAGCACCACCTGTGGAAGGTCCAGGGCTTGAGCCGTTTCCTGGCCTTTGTGCTGGGTCTTGGCCTTCTTTGGATCCCTTCCGTCTTCTTTTGGATCCTTGTTGGCCTTCCTGAGGAGTGGTGCCAGGGCTCCAAAGGTCTCCAGCAGCTCCTGGGTTTCCCGCCCATTCAGTGGCACACTGTCGGACCCGTCCATGTTGCAGCAAAAGGCACAGTTGATGGATCACAGGGCACTGTTGGTAATGGGCTAGAACCAGTGTCTGCCGGGCATGTTGCTCTGCAAGCGGTGGATCACCAAGCAATGGCAGGTTGAAAATCAAATTGCACTGAGCACATTGATAGTCTGTGTGGGCTGCATTGGTGTATTCATCATACAGAAAAGGCAACAGATCAGTGATCTCTTCAAGGTTTGAGGCATGGACCTGAAGGATGTGATCCCGCAGCAATGCCGGGTGAAAAACACCACCACATAGGACACAGTGCTCGCGCAAATAGGCCTGCAAACCAGGATCACTGAGGATCAATCTCACTTGCCTTTCATGCACTGCCTCTTTCAGTGGGGCACAAATTGCATGGCTGACACTGTGTTGCAACAAGGTGTCCAATTGGCCTCGGTCAGGCGGCCATGGGAGAAAGACCTCCACAGTTGATCGAGTGGCAAGCATTGCAATCTGGCGGTAAAACGGGCAGACATGGGTCAAGGTGACCTTGTTGAGACTGGGATTGCAAACGCATGAGTGCAGCGGTAGCAGTATCTTCAGCAGATACTTGGTCAAAGCCTGCGCCTTGTTCCACATGACTGAGTGGGCTGTCTGCAGGTGCAGCATCAAGTCATTGGACCTGGTGTAGGCAGCTCCGCATTGGGCACAGTGGAGCGTCATTCTTAGCCTGCACATTGCGTCTTGTAAGGCTGGTTGAAAATCCCCAGACTGGAGCAGTTGATTCCACATGGGTGCAATCGGCAACAGGAAGGGAGAGCGATTTGGGTCGAACATCGGACATTGTCCTAGCGTCACATGCTGCCGAACTGCTGAGACATCTGTAAAACACTTGGAGCAGTGTGAGCATGCTGGATCCTTCCCCATGAGGTCCCTCTCAGGTTGCCAATCATGAAATGCCAGCCGGTGGGTGTCAGCCAAATGCCTGTGAATATCATGTATGCTATGAGCTCTGAATCCACAGACCTCACATCGAAGGGCTTCTTGCGGCGGTGATGCCACTGGTCCTGCATCGGTTGGCATGTGCAGCAGAAGCATTGCCACCTGTGTGAGGATTGGACATGAATGGGCCTGTCTGAAGCTCTTTGAGCAGTATCTGCATGGAGAGTTCATGGCAAATCCACGGCAAAGCTGAGAGGCCTTTGTGAACGTGTGTGGTGTCCATTGTGGATGATGCACACGCAAATGATTGTGCAATTCCTGTGGCCGATTGAAGTGAAAATCACAAATGCAGCATTGTTCAGCCAGTGCCTCACAAGCAAGTCGAAGGTCCACCAATCTGTGCCAGTTGCGGTCCCTCACTATCTGCAGGAGGTCTGCACCATACGGCTTGGTCTGCAACAGTTCAGTGAGACCCTGGTGAAGGCGCAAAACGCGCTGCTCTTCTTCCTCTCTGAGGAGTGCATCCAGGTTCACCTGTGGGTCACATGGTCTGGCCTGACAGCATTGGCGATCAAGGTGAATTTGAAATTGACGCCAGGTACTAAATGTCTGGTAACAGAAAGTGCATTGTGGAAGACCCCCAACAGAGCAGGACATGGCATGACCAAGTCTAGTTCTAAACTGAGTACAGCCATGCACAGTGGTTTGATGCCTTCTGAGGTTTGGCAGGGATGATGCAACATGTGAGCATGATGGACATGCATACTGGAGAGGATCTGGCACCTCTAGTTGGCTGTCAGCAGTCGGATGTGGTGTCGCCTGAACCTCAAGTGCAACATGAATTAATTGGAGATTTTGCTGCAGAGTGCTCCAGTCAACTGTGAGGACAATGTCATCAGGCTGCAAAAACTGGGTTCTCTGGCGGATGAGGCTTTGGAGCTGCTGGACAGGGCGTGTCAGCACATGGAGCGGGTGTTCCAAGTGATATCTGTGCAAAATCATTTGGTGAGATTCACGTGTGCGGAAACTATGGTTTCTGGTCAGCTGTCTGTACATTCCAAACACTACCTGTTGAAAACGTTTGAGGATGGGCATGGTTATGTTCACGGCTAACAAACCATACATTAGTGTCGTGAGAACACTAGCCCTCCATAGCTGCAGTCGATGGGATAATGCAATATGTGGAGTATGCAGCCAACGACGCAGCCTGTGAAATGTGATTCTGGCACAGTGAACTCGTTTCTCAAACGTCAGGTGTTCAAAATTGGCATAGCTCATGCAGGTCCCCAGATACTCGGCCGTCTTTTTGACAGGAATGCAGCTGTATGATCCATTGGCACGTGGAATTTCGATATACGTGTGCGTTCCATCTCGTTTCAAGAGCTGTGACCTGATTTTGCGGCCATGGGTACCTGCAATGTCAATTAAGATGTGTGCCTTTTCCAAAGAGAGCTTCAAGCCCATGTCTTCAAGCGCATCTAGGAGGTATCCAAGTCTGGTCAGTTCTGTCATCAATTGATGTTTGGAACGAAAAATGGATCCCTGATGGATGTCGTCTGCGAAGGCTGTTAGGGTCTTTTTGACCCACTCTGGATTAATTTTGTTGGAAAGTTTTTGAAACAGTTGATCCAAAAAACAGTTCCATAAAAGGGGGGCTGCACGACAGCCCTGACGCACTCCACATCCCGTTGAAACCAATTCTGTCCTTCCAGATTGTTCGACACAATAATCTGTGTCTGAGTGCCATTGGGCCATGAGTGTCGTGATTTCTGGTAGATCATGAAGGGTGTCTAAGTGATCAAAAAGTTGTTGTCTGGGTAGCTGATCGAAAGCCCTCTGTATATCGAGGAAAATCTGTAGGCCTCCACAACATTGAAAAAACTCAACATGAGCAGCACGTTGCTGTGCTGAGCGTCTTTGGGTTTTGATCAAACTTCTGACCTCATCACAATGAGCAGCAACACGTCTGATGGCATCTCCTGTTGATCGATTGGGAAGGAACGCAAATTGGGGATGGGTCTTCAAGGCTGGCCCTACTGCTTGTTGCAGTTTTTTCGTAAGAGCACCTAGCACGCACTTACCCAGGGGCTCCTGCAGTGCTATGCATCTGAGGTTACTAACCTTACTTGGACTCTTATGGGGTTTAGGGATGAGTGTCACCCAAGCTCTTTTCCATAAGGAGGGGATGTAGGGGCTAGTAGTTGACCACCATTGGGTGAGGTGGGCATGAAGCCATGGGGCAATGATGGCTGAGTGCATCTTCAAGACCAGCGCTGGAATGAATGGCTTTGCCACTGACTTGTTGTGTGGCAGTTGGCTCAGCTCATGCTCAAGTTCCTGAACAGTAAAGGGTACCCCAGGGGGGTCCCTGTGGCCAAGGTCAACCTGAGCAGGGCCATGCCAGATTTCTGCAACAAAATTTGTGGTCAGCTTCATGGCTTCATCCGGGGAAGCAGGTGACCCATCTGCGTTTCTCAACTGGATTTTCTTTTTGGGTTGCTTGGGGGTATATTTTGAAATGATCTGATGTACCTCAAAACTGTCATGTTTGTTGGCAGCCACTTGTACTGACGCAAGCAAATCAAAGAAGCGCTGTTTTTTGAGTTGTTTGGTGCTGCGCTTGTGTTCCCGATGAAGAGAGGCATATTTGCTTTGGCACCTCCGCACATGAAACAGTGCACGCAGGGTCAGTGATTTGTTGGCCACAACCTGGCGGTGGTAGTACCATTTTTGCTGGATGAGTCCCGCATTATCATCTTGGGGCCTATTTTTGGGTTTAGATCTGAGGGGATATGATCTAAGAAACCAAGGACTAAGGGTATCGTGTAAGGACTGGATCGGATCTGCATCTTGCATTGAGGTGTCACACATGGCATAAAATGCATGGCCTGTGTCGGTCAACATCTGGTGCCAGGTGGCTGCGTCGTTCCTCCAGTCTAAACGACATTGTTGTCTTTGGAAATAGGTGTACCCTGAGAAAGAATGGGAATCCTTATAAGAAAAATGGAATTTTTTGATACTGCATAGCAGCGGTACATGCCTGGGGCCAGTTAGGGGTACAATTTCAGCTTGATTCAAATACTTGACATCCAGTGCAACACCGTCGGCATCTGATGTACGCGTCAGGAAAAAGTCAATTCTGGACGCAGTGAGACCATTGTGGAATGTTGGTCCTGAGCTGGCATTCCATCCATTTAGAATGGTGAGATGATGCTTTCGAATGATCTGGTGAAAGGTAGTCATGTCTCGATGTTGTGGGCCCTGACAATGATGATCTTGCCACGTGAAAAAACTCGTTCCCACATAGGGAGGATCCATTCCTACGGAACAGTTCATGTCACCTGCAATAAGTATGGAGTTACGGTTTGGGATATGAGATATACAAGCATCAAGTTCAGTCCAAAATTGATGTCTTTGATTCAATCTTGCAGTGGACCGATCATCCATGAAATTGTAGCAACACAGAAAATCACAAGCCCTTTGTCTGTAATGTATGCGAACATGTATGAGACGACCTGGAAGCAAGGCAACGCTACCAATTTGTGATTCCATGATGCTGGAAGCCCTAAAAAGGATGAGGATGCCGTCAGCCCTATCAGTTGGTGTCCCTGAATGCAGGGCATGCCACACACCGTCGCTCCATTCAGAGGAGAAGCTCCAACGCGTCTCCGTAAGCACAATGACATCAGCTTGAATGTGGAGTCCCCACTGTTTAACCTCTTCAAGTTTATGGGTGGAGAGTCCACCAACGTTATACTGAAGAACATTGAGTCTTTGATTTAGGGGCGGTGGGTTACATGGTTTGGTGGGGGCATTAGCACGTCGATTAGGGCTAGGGTGCACAGGTCTAGGCATGTGACTAGGAAAATCCTGGGGGGTCATGTATTTTCCACGATAGTAGGCAGCACCATCTCTCAAGGCCCGTGCATATGCACGTTTGAAACTGCGTTTTTGGATGGCAGTCATCTGGCTCATACTGGCTGGATTCTTCAGGGGGCCGGAGCCCATGGTTGGCGGTGGGCCGTGAACTTTCGCCTTTAAGAGGTGTGACAGGTCATCTGCTTGGAAGTTGGCTTCCATGGATTCCCACGGCAGAAATCCATAACCCTCACCCCCGTGCAGTGATGCTTCAGGCATAGATGCTAGAGTTGTTAAGGCAGGCATGCTCAAGGAACTCCAGTTGATCGCACTGCACGTCCGGACTTGGGACCGGATTTGCGGCTTTGGTATTGGGTAAGGCTGTGCAGGCCGCACAGGCTAGGCTCTAGGGGGATGGATCAAAAACAAATTTGATAGGACTATGCAATTGGCAGAAATTTTGAACTTGGTTAAAGGTGAATTTAAGACTGGGTCAAAAATGGGTCAACCGGGACTATATTAACCGAGTGCAGGGAGCCAAATTAGTGATAGTTTTTGGGTCTGTAAGGCAACGGGTGGCTTATTTTCTTTGGATTTTTCTTTTGGCAGCGCTGGCTGATGATGGTTTTTGCTTGGACTATCCAGGGTATGGATCTGCTTTGAGCAGGCAGCACACTGTATACGCCTCAAGTGTTGGGCAGGCTCAACACTGGATGTGGTCACTTATGGTACTGTACAGGCAGTACAGGATTGGTTGTGGCGCAACTGCAGTTACCGTTTTGCTGGTACAGAGTGTCCAAGAGGAAGTCGACTTATACGCCTTGTTCCCACCAATCAAGGATGTGGTGTACCTGGTTGTGGTCTGGCTCTGTGTCGGATGACACTGGACGCAATCAATCGGATGCCTGATAGATCTGTCTTGCAAGGGGTTGTGGTTGGAGTCCAGGACTGTTACAAGTCGCAAAAAACAATGGTTCACAATCACTCAAGAAAAGGTATCAGGTTGTATTGTTGAAAATGCGCCAAGTGCCACCGAAATCGTATAAATGGAGTCACAGAAAAGTCGTACAAGCCTTCCAATCAGCGTCAGAGAGGTACCCTGCCAGCCAGATAGTGATGGGAGCAACCCCACAGTTTTGGGTCCTCACTGAACGCTGATTGTTGTTATCAATTGTACCGCTGTAAGCCTTTGTCTGTATCCACACCAAGGCACGATCTCGTCTGTGTTGCTGTGATGACAAGCTGCCAGTCAATTGGAATCTGTGGCCAAGATTTGAAGTAATTGAAAACCCAAAAGACAATCTGCGTCGATATCAAGCTGTTGTCGTCCAAGTAGAGCAGCAATCCCAATGGCTCTAGAGCTAGAGGTGCAACGAAAAACAGGTGCAAGCGAGACTACAAACACGCGCTAGGGGCAGCCCACGCTCTAGTTAGAGCACTTGAGGTGCGGTTCTCGTGACCGCAAAGGGGCTTGTGTGTGTGTGTACACTGCTATTCACATGCAGAAAACTACAACTGGACATTTGATGACTATGCACGTTATGTTTTCCGAATTCATGCGCCAAAGACTATGCACGTTATGTTTTTCGAATTCATGCGCCAAAGACTACTTAACAGCAGGGGGCTGCAGGGAATGTCATAGTTCTGCAGCCAACGAAGACGGCTATGACATTCTGTGATATCGATCCGGGACGCTGGATCGACGTACCTGCCTAATCATGTCTTTCCTTTTCCGCGATGGGATGTGGCTAACCCAAGAACCACCTTGCTGATTAATGATTTGGACCTGGTTTCACCTGTTTATCAAGGATGATGGACTCAGGAATTCTACCAGGCGTGTACAACCACATCGTCATTGCAGTTCACTTCCAAAAAATCAACAGTGTGCATTAGTCATGTGTCCTATACAGACCATGACCTTATCATCCCTAATGGGGAAGAACAATCTTGGCATAGTGTGCCGAATC